TACAGTCGGTATATATGTATAATATATATATATATATATTATATATATATGTTGGTAATATATACATATATATATGTATGTATGTATATAGATATAGATATGTATGTATATACTTTTGGTGTACCGATTGTAAGCAAAAAAAAAAAAAAAAAAAAGAAAGAGGGGCACAACACTACATGTTATAACAGTCATATGTGCAAAGTTTCAACGTTCTGATACTACTCGTTTTTGAGTTATGCGAGATGTATACATACGTACAGACGTCACCAAAGAAGTCTCTTCTGAATCTATTTTAAATCCATTTTATAATCCGTTTTGGGAAAACAAGTGCTTTAGTCTATCCTTACGTACATGTGTCAAGAAAAATCATCGTTAAATTCCTTTCGATAGTGGCAAAAATGAATATTTTCGTGGAAATATGATAACAGAAACTTTTTGAGTGACAATACTCAGTTTACTTCGTTCAAGGATATAAAAATCCGTATTCTTTGCCCACAGCTTATGATCCATAATATTTAAACACAATTATAAACTAACGACCTTAGCAATTTTTATTTATAAGATGTTTAATTCCCGTCATTTAAATTATTTAAGGGTATTTTTCAGAAATTACATTATTTTTTCAAAATAAAATGTTGGATGTTGCAAGGCTTACTTTGTTAAGTTGCACATTATGACTTCCTTCGGCAACGAAAATTTCAACACTGAGCACGTAAAGAAGAATGTCGAAATAAAAAAGATTCACTGCTCCAAGCTTGAGCGTTAGAGATATGTTGCAAAGGGTTTTAACTGACAGACTTACTTGCTTCAATTAATTAAAGCTTCTCAGCATTCAGAAAAGTTCTTTATGTATTAATAAGAAACCAATCGACACAATAAACTGTACTACTGAGTATGAAACCTTCAGTTCTATATTTTTGTCAGTAATCTGTTTTATTACGCGTCTCATTTAACTTCTGATGCAGTTTTTTTTCTTGCCCCCTCCTCCAACTCTAGGATTGTGCTGGCTTGAATAATAAATGTAATTCTGTGGTCTTGCGATATTTATGTTTCTTAAGATGTTTTGAACACTTCGAAAGAAAGATATTCGGGATGTTTGTTATTTCCATTTTAGAGATTTCGCTTCAAGACAAAAAACTGTTGCCACATGAGCGAGATATTTATGACAAGTCCAGTGAAGAATATCTATGAAAGTCCAGAGCATGCAATGTAGTGGAAAAGAACTTGCTTGTCTCTGCCTTGAATAATTAAGTCTTTTCTTTATTAAAAGCACAAATTTCAGGGTAGAGATAGTTTGCGATTAAACAATATCATAGCAATGTTTGCATTCCTCTTTTTAGCAACAAATTTTAATTATTAAATTTTATCCTTCATGTTTTTAATTTCTGAAAGACTAATTCTTAAAACCTGAAACAGCAGATCTACCATAACACTTTTTATCTTAAGATTGTATCGGGTCGTAAACCGAAATATACACAAGAAGAACCCATTGCTGTTTCTGCTTAATTCTATACTTTTTATATACTGTAGAGTCATTAGGTTATTTTGAAGCAGGAGAGATGAAAACTACGCAGGGCCGCCACCGTTTAATTTGGGTGCCACCGTAGAGACATTAGGTTATTTTTGAAGCAGGAGACATGAAAAATGAGCAATGCCCTATCCAGAACACGAACCCTCTTGAATAAGCGTCGAATATTCTACCGCTACTCCATGAAGGCATGCTGGAATGAGGGAGAAAATACCTTATAATATATTTATTTTGTAATAATTTTTTCATACTTTCAAAGTACAGTGATAAATTCTTCGAGGCGTCCTTGAAAGACTATTGTTTTTGTTTTGCGATTTTGCGTTAAATCACTATAAATGTCCGTTTCACTTTTCAAACTGTTGCCACCCAATGTTAGAGTCCTGCATTATATTTGAAGAAATTAAAAATGAAAAATCTGCATAAATGTACGTCTATTTCTCGCATTGTGATAAAACAACGGTACATAGAGCCATCGAATTTTGAATGATGTAATCCTCCTACGAATATGGGCATGTGGAAGAGCAAATTTGAAATTTGTTTTATTAGAGATTTCATATTTTGTAAACTTTTAACGAAATTTTGATTCACAAACTCAAGGATTTCAACGCGAGCAATGGCAACACTCTACGAGGAGGGAAAAAAATCTTTTTATCTCCAGCGCGCGAGTCTCTGTATAGGAAATTCTAAAGATAGGCTCATTTTAAAATTATTTTGCGTCATTGCTATTGAAGTGAATTTTATGGTTTAAGTGTGAAGAACGTGATATTTAATAAATAAAGGTAACACACAAAACGTTAAAAAAATGCCCCTGTATTATATTTAAAGTACGTAATTTAAAATCTGAAACGTTTCAGATTTTTAGGCCAAAGGGGCTTTGTTCTGAAGGACTGTTGTTTTTCAATTGCTTTCATATTAAATTCTCCACTTTACTGATCATCTCATCAAGTTGCTAAGTTGTATTTACTACTAGAATTCTAACCAATTGTACTTGAGTCTAAAAGTAACTGAAAACTGCTTTTTTTATACCTTACCTTTTTATTTGTTATGCAAATTTGTAAAGCAAACATACCTACATCGAAACTTTAAAGTTACTATATTACTATGCTTATATATGCTAATATAATATGTTCATATAAGACTAGCTATGTTTATCTAGTTATTCTCGAAAGAAACATCTTTCCTTGTTCTATTTTTTAAAGTTTTTAATTTGCTACTTAGACTTTTAATGCAGTAAATATTTTTGACAAAATTTAGGTTTTTAGTCTTTGAATTCCTATTTTACATTTTACTCTAACTTTTGGTTAAAATACTGTAAACAATCTTGAAGCATTTTAACACATTTATGAAAGTAATCAGCAGAATGATAAAAGTGAAAATTTTAAATAAATGTTTCTTGGGATATTAAAACATTTTCACACAATATATTTAAATAAGTGAGTGACCGATGAATAATTAACTATCGATGAGTAATTAATTATCAGGGAATATAAGATTACCACATTTCACAAAAGTAAAATGGCTTTTACTCGTATTGTTTCATGAAATTTTTATCTAAGTGCCGCAAGTGGTAGAAAACAGTTCTCACATAATTTTTCACTCTTAAAATAAAACCTCAAACCTAGACTCTTACTTTAGTTAAATAACAGAATATGAGACACTTTGAAGCCTTCGAAAAGTGTTTCATTTGACATAAACTTGTTCTTAACAAATACGCTTTTGAAATCTTTCGTTTCGTATTAGAAAATTATTTTGAAGTCTTACTTTTCTTTTTAAAAAAAGTTATACAAACTTTACTACTTTTCTTTTTAAAAAAAGTTATAAAAACTTTACTAACTAACTTTTCTGACTCTTAGGCAAGATTAACATTTAAAGCTATCGTAATAAAAGAAAAAAGACTTTCTCATGTTCGCTGAAAATGCATCGTTAAGTAACAACTTAAAAATTATATATTATGTTATGTACAAGGCTGGAGCTAGATATTTTACCAACCGGTGCTATGTCTCTGGCTTGCAAAAAATTCCGCCAAATACCTATTAATTTATAAACATTTTGCCTCCACTAAATCCCATCGCTCATTGCAGTCACACAGGCTGCTGGCCCTTGCCAGTTCCCGGCTCTATAGCCGATCCTTGTTGAGTATCTTAATTGGATAATCTCATGAATTTTAATTAAATATCTCTCAAATATAAATTTATTGGTATGATATATTTTGCATAATCATGCATTTATGCTTCATACTTAGCATAGTATTTTAAGCACACATTTTTATTCAGCCTGATATTAAAGATAAAAGCTGAACATTTAACTGTCGGAATTATTTATTAGTCCAAAGGCCCAGAAGGGCTATTAATTTCGTTTTGACATTTTGCTTTGATTCACTACAAGCGTTGTTTCACTTTTCAAATTGTTGCTACCAAACATTATCGCTCTGTATTTTATTTAAAGAAATTAAATAATGAAGAATCTGCATAAATGTATGCATGTTTCTCGCATTTTGGTAAAACAACGGTACCTAGAGCTATCAAAATTTGAACAACGTAATCCTACTGCGAATATGGGCATCTGGAAGCCCAAATTTGGAATTTGGTTTATTATCTATTTCATATTTTGTAACACTTTAACGAATGTTTTATTAACAAACTTAACAATTTCAAAGCGAGCAATGGCAACACTGTACAAAAAAATTATCTCCAGCTCGCGAGACTGTGTATCAGAAATTCTAAAGACGTGGTCAATTTAAAATTATTTTGCAGTATTGCTCTTGAACTGAATTTTATGATTTAAGAGCCAATAGCATGATGTTTAATGAATAAGGGTAACTCACAAAATTTTTAAAAAAACGAACCTTCGGACGTAATTTAAAATCTGAAACCTTTCAGATTTTTTTAATTTTATTATTTATATTTTCAATAATCTTAAGTGTCAAGTTTAAAATCATGTAAAATATAACACTTAAAATTATGATTTTTCAGCAACACTAAATTACATACTATCAGTGATATTAAAATATATGTATCTCTCTAAATATTCACTCACTTCAATCAGTTTTCAATTTGATCACTTTTTATTAGTCTTAAGCATTTCATTTTGGTCAAGATGAACAGCAACAATCCTCTTTTTAAGGATCCCTTTTAGAAATTTCCTAAAACTTTTATTTATCAATTAAATGAAAGTAAGCGGAATTCCCAAAGAAGTGGACATTTGATGATTGATAATTTTAAAAATTCAGGGGATGTCTATCTAGATATAATCTGTCACATAAATGGAACAAAAGGTAAATTATAGCCCTGTTGTCCAAATTTTACGTGACAGGGATTCTGGACTTCGGATCTAGCCGCGGGTCGAAAGGTAAATAATAATAAAAAAAAAAAAAAAAAAGAAAAGGAGAAACAATTCAAGGTCATATGTTTTAAGGGGAAAGATTCACCATACTGTGTACTGTTGATATTGTCTCTGGGTTACTGGGTATGTTTTTATTCGATGTTAACTATTAGTATTCTATCCGCAAACATCCCCTTTCTTTAGGGATGTATATAAGTGCTGAGAACCAGAGCCAGTCAACTACAATCCTCTTGGTGATCATCTCTTGAAGATCCAGCTCTCTCTCGTTCAACAATGAAGGTAAGTATTCTCTTCTAAAAGTTAGTTAATTAGTATCTCAGTTAATCTTGTATCAACTTCTTTACTTAGAAACATTTTAATTCCCTGTTTTATAATCCTAACGTAAAGTAAATACTTTTATTTAAAAACGAAGTCTATTTCTCAGAGAAAACTTTATTTGAGTAATATATTTTAATAGTCTTCTGAAATATCAGAGCGGTGTTTGTTTTGACTTTTGTTTAACTTTATCTGTCCAAAATATCTTTAAAATTTACAGTTATTGTATTAATGTCATATTGCAGTAGAAAATGAAGATATTCGAATTTCAAAGATCTTGCGTATCTGCCACATTTTTAATCTCAAAAGCTTTATATTTGAATTAGACTGTTTATGAAATTTTTAAACTCTTTGCTTATCTGCTGAACCTTATGTAACATCATACTCATCTTTGTGGCAACAGTTCTCTAAAGGAGCCATTTTTGAATAACATCAGCTTTTTTAAGTGATATAAATGTTAGTGATAGTGTCCAAGCGCGATGTTTGAGCATGGTAGAACTGTTTGTGTACGGCAAAAGTGTTTGGCAAAGAAGACTGAGGATTCTAGTTCTCATTAGTCCTTCACAACTTAGCTGCAATACGGGAAACGGAGACAAAATATAAATTTCGAAGTAACATCTTAATCCTAAAATAGATTTTTAATATTCATTGGGTTATATTTTTCAAAAATAATAAAAAATAAAAGGTTTTTTTATAAGCTTTCGTCCTCAAAGCCTGCAAAATAATAAAAAAACAGCATCTTTCAGCCATAATAAATCAGTAACAAATTGGTAATTCAGATTGGCTTTGGTTTAAAATAAACGTATTCGGCAGAAAAGGCAAATTGTCTTCAGAATTCTCGTATAAGATTTTGCTTTGTAATAAGGATTTGTTAATATAACTATCAGGTACTAGTTTGTTCTTTTTCTAAACAGTTTTACTTTGAAGTACCAAGTAAAACTGGAATTCCAGAAACAGCAAAACTGGCATTGCAGAAACATTGTTTATTTATTAAATAACTTTATGTAGCATAACAAATTGTAGTAATGTTATATTTTGGCTTAGTTATAGTAGTATTGATAGTAGGCTTTTAAGATATATTAATTTTGTACATTGTAATTAATTGTAACATACAACACACTGTAATGAATTTTTCTTTTTTTCTTATTAAGCCAATATTGTATTTGTATTAAACTTTGGTTTCCTCTGACCGACAGTACTACACTTTTAACAAAATTTCTTCCATGTTTTTTACGCGCATAAAAAATATACGCCATGTACAAAAAAAAGGAAATCTTATTTAGACCGATTTTGTTATAACACGACACATTCCTATTTGATGAATGTAGAAGAGGTATCTGAATCTTTTTTTGTCACTCAAACTTCATCCATTTAATAGCTCAAACCAGCCCAGAGAAAATATTTTCTTTCGCACTTATATGATTTATTTAAATTGTAATATTACTAAAATTACTATGAGAACATACTTGCAAACCACAGAAAAATATTTATTGTATAATAAATACTATTAATCATGAAATAATACAGAATTCAAACTTTAGTTCTCTTAAGACAAATGTTAATTCGATAAAATGTTCTCTCCATTTATACTTAAAAGTTAATTCTTACTGATCAAAGACAGAAACAATAAAAAGGTTACATTTATGACAAGTTAATGAAAATGTATTTTATTTAGCGAAATATTGTTTAAAATTATGCATTTACAATTCAACATTTATGTGATCGTAAGTAAAAGTTGTATGAATAAAAAAAGACATTGAAATTCTGTCTTTCGTGTTCAGAATCCAGTTTAACCCTTAAAATAGTTGATCTTTAAGAAATGTTGACAAGCTTACAAATTTAAGAATAAATCCTCAGAAATTCAAGGCATAGGAGGAGACATTTAAAACGAGCCTTCCGAAATAGCAATTCCAAACAGCAGAAAACAAAAACTTAGTACTTTGTTATTCTGTCATAAAATACATGATGATTCTGACCTATAAATTTCATCATAAAGAAATGAAGACATTAGCATTTGTTTCATAAGAAAAAAATTAACGCTTTAAGATGCAGCTGCAAGAATTTGCAACAAGTATTTCTTGCCAATGAAATGATGACAAATTATATTTTTATAGTATATTAAATTAAAGTTAGTGAAAACATTAACATATAATCCCAGATCTTAATATAAATACACATTTAGTTTAATAAAAATCAGTGCTTAAGACAAATGCCAAAGTAATATCTCTGTACTTTAAAATTATGAATTTGTATTTTATATGTTTTGATTTTAATGAAGCTGTCTACATGTTTAGGGAGACAAAATAATTTACTTAATGCTTTCTTGCATACATATCTAAAACACTTATGTTACATATGTCTTTCATTGTATTCTAATTTTTACTAATGTATACTTAGAAATACAATGAAAGTATATTCTTACATAGTTTGTATTCTTGTTTAGAAATACAAAGAAAATATTAAATATTTTAAAGAGTGATACTCTAAAAAGGCCCAGTATCAACCTGAATGACAAACTGGTTTCGCAATTATTCATTCAACTAAAAGAAGCTTATTTATGAAATTGTTAGATTTTATGTAAAAGTTAGATGGAAAAAAGGTGCAAGTGGAAGCAATTCCTATCTCAAAATTGAACATGTATATATTCTAAGATTTAGCAGTGTTTAATCATAAATTTCTTTTATAATCATTTAATTTTTCCAAAAAGAATTAAATTCATATTAAGCATAATTTCATTAACTATCAAGAAAAAGGAAATTTTAAAATTGATATATAAATTGAAATATTTCATACCTGAAAATGAAATATTTCAATTTATATATCAATAAACCTTTAGACATTTTCAATGTTTATAAATCGTTAGACAGCGCAACATTAGACAGCGGTATATGTAGAACCACGTCGGAAAGAATATAATCAGAGCCATTTTGTAAAGTTGTAACAGAATTATTTGAATGTATCCGAACTATTAATTGAATGCATCTACTGGCAACGTGAACAACTTATAGGCAGTCGACAATCGCTGCGATGAGGATATATTTTCCAGTATTACGTCTCCGTGTCTCAAACGTTAATTTTAAATGTTAGGTGTTTCGTTTTGGTATATGTTCTGTTTTGATGCATATTTTCTGTATAACAGTTTCTCTGTTAATAAATACTTTTAGAGATAGCCGGCATTTGTGTTTGTAGAAGAAAGGTTACAAAATCATGTAAGAGAAACACATAAGCTTTTGCGTTAGTAAGATAAGAACGCTTAACTTTGAAAATAAAACTAATTCAATCAGTTAAATATTCTCTAAAAAATTTTTAAAAAATTTTTTTCTTCGTTCCATTTCTTCGATCCAGTTCGCTCGCTATAAAATTGATGATATAGATTAACATAATTCCTTCCAACATAAAGGTTTTTCAAGAATAAGCAGCGAAGAAGATAAAAAAAGATGCAAATTATTGAACTATAAATATTCTGAATATTTAACTTCTATTTGGTGTTAATTTGAATAAAAGAGCAAAAGGAAAAAAAGGGAGGGGAAGAAAAAAAAGAGAAGAAAAGAAAAGTGTGGTTTTCACATTTCATCTTCAAAGACGAGTCACAAGATATTTTTGAATGACTCTTCCTTTGTTTAAAAGTAAAAGCAAATAATATGTAGAATTTGAACACAGTTTTCGTCCGAATAGCAACAGTTTCTTTTCATTTTTTATTTATTTATTTTTATTTTTATTTGGGGTCCCATTAAAAATCGCCTTTTTTTTTTCTTTAGGTCTTCATCATCCTTTCTCTAGCAGCTGCTGCTGTTGCTCAAATAGCGGTAAGTATCTTTTACACTAAATTTAGTTTCTAAGACTACTTGAGATTTATAATAAAAAATTATCTTAATATATATATTAAAATACTTTGGTTATGAACTTTTACAAAAAACTTATTATATTTTAAAATATTGAATCAAATTTAAAGATGAGCCTTATTATTTTAGAAATACTTTTTATAAACTGGATATACCAATCATATTAAAAATTCATAACACATGTTAATTATTGATGTTTTCATGTTTTAGGCTAACTTCTCAAAGGATAATAATCTGAAACATAAAAACCTGAATAATCCAAAAGAACTGTATCACATTTTTCGTTCCGCATGACTTTTTGAGTATTTAAAGATAAAAAAATACACTTCAAAATAAAAATGAAATTGAAATAGGAAAATGAAAAATCTACACATATTTACACCTCATACTTAATAATTCTTGTGATTACCCCGACGTGATAAATTCTCGCACAAATAAATCTTTAGTACATAATTTTAAAAATAAAATTACCTTAAAAATGTAAAACGTAACTGAATAGAAAATCCAGTAAAAATACATCAATTTGCATTTAAAATACAGCGGTTAGTTGAATTGGAGGCTTTAAAGGCACTAAATCTTTGACTCGTAACAGAATTGCCTATAATATTGTTGTAAAAAGCATATTGTAAGTAATTGTTAAATTCCTTAAAACTCATTTCAGGCGAGTGAAAACTAATGATAATTTTTTGTTTGTACTAATAAAAAATAAAAATAAAAGAAATTAAAAAAATTACAAATATAAATATATTATACATGTATGTGTGTTTGGGAAGATGTTCTGTAAGAAAGATTAATTAAGTAACTAAATACTATGTCTTTAACCTAAACCTAGTAAATGTATGTTCTTATAATCTGAAAACTTTCGATTAAAATATAAATTTTATTAACTATTTTGTGAGTAACGCGTATATTTATGTGTAACGTGTGTACGAGCCAAATACCCTTAGAAAATCCTCCACGAAGGCCTCCCTCTCCTTAGGCAGAGGCTTTGCCATAATCAAATAAACCAAACCTCTTTCAGCTGAGTAATAGATAAGGTATTGGCAAGCATTTATATCTGCTTATGTAATAATTCATTAGTAACATAAGTAACGCACGTTCTGTAGATGGAGGGAGGCAAACATGAATGAAATGTACTTCGAACGTAGGTAAATAATGAAAAAATTAATATCTCAAATTACTTATCCAAGGAAATCAATGTAACAAGCTTGTTATGTATTTTAGACTTACAATTAATTCAAGGGTATGTTTCAGAAGATAAAAGTCTTCGGTTAATAGAAATCCATTTGCATGATTCTCCCTGCTCTATCCACCCAATGTTGATCGTATTTCTCCATATTTAAAATATTACTGATTTCGTATGGAAATTAAATTTATGATACTGTTACAACTGCTTTAAGTACTAGCTAATTTAATAATTGAGTGCAAATAGCCCATTAATACTGAATTGATTTCATGTGGCCTTATATTTTTTATTTCAAAAAATAAATTGGTATTAACGCCTGAAATATAAGGAAAATCAGGCGAGTTTTACTTAGAACTTTTCAAAATGAAACTAAAATCTGATTGTGATTCACTTCGAAGAATGTTAATTATTGCCTTTCTTACTGTTGTTTGCCTTTGTTAACTGCTCCACAACAAAACTAGTGTGGTTTCTACGAATAGGTAGGTTCATAGGAAACTTTGTAAGGAAGAAATCACCTCTGATATTCCCTGAAATGGTAAAGGTAACACTGTATAATCGAGAAACTAAGAAGCAAGTTATGAAGTACATCCATTGGCGATACTCAGGATGAGTTTATACAGCCAATGAATAATTTAAAACATATTAAGAAAGTTGATAATCTATATCAACATTTTGGTGATGCTCTAAAGCTTCTTTTTTTATTTGATATATATCAAGTTAATACCATTTTAACAAATATGAAAAAATGTTAATTTGATATCAGGTCAATCATTTACAAGAATTCTGAAATTTCAGCATCCATTTTTGTATAAGCTAAGGTTAAAAAAAGTATTAAAAATTCACAAAATGTTATGATAAAATATATATTAGTTTATTTACGTATTGTCTATTGTTTGAACAGGCACCAATACAGTATCAACCTATTCCTTATTCGTTTAACTACGTTGCCGAAAACGAAGACGGTGGAAGCAGTTCTCATCAAGAATCTGGGAGATGGCGCAGGACGGGTGTCAGGATCTTATAGCGTCAATGATCTGGAAGGACACGCTAGAGTTGTCGAGTACATTGCTGACGAAAATGGATTCAGAGCCAATATCAGGAGCAATGAGCCAGGCATATAATCAGCGCCGCTCCCGCTGATGTCGTGATTGAATCTTCTGGTGGTTCTTCTGGAGCCGTAGCCCCTGCCGCCGCTAGGGTAAATTCCGCACCGATTGCTGCCCCAATTATCCGCTCAGCTCAACCTGCCGCTCAACCTGCCTCCAGAAGTGGAATCCGTTACGTTTTGGTCCCTGAAAGTGATCCTAGAGCTGCTGGTGGAATCCCGATCTAAACATTGTAGCAGCTTCATGTGATGATACGTTTTCGAACTGGGAACTGATGAAAATAATTCCTAAAAATGTTTTCTAACAACTACCTCAGACCTCCAATAGCATCATGTTTTATACTGTAATTAAATTGTGTTTTTATTAAAAAAAAATTCTATTTATTTTCGTCGAAGAATTTTTCACATATTTCCATAATCTTCTATTAGTATTTTACACGATATGTGATTATAATTTCATATCACCTTCTTTTTTCTAATGATTAGAAAGTTACATTGCAAGAATATGTCATATTATTCATGTATTTCACACTATCATTATCCACATGCAAGAATACTTAATATTCACATTACCCACATGCAAAAATAATTCATATTCTTGCATGTGAAAGAACATCATTTAGAACGTCATGTTGAACAACAGTTTAGAAAAAAGAAAGTGATATGATATGTAATCACAATTCGTGTAAAATCCAGAGAGCATTTTTGCATCTATTTATATGCGTGAAATATATAGCAGAATCAGAGCAGCATTTGAATTACCTTAATTAGAAATGCTGGTGAAACCTCATCGTAGTAACATTATAAAGGTGTTTCTCCCGCCTTATTAGCATGCCTTTGCAGTGTCGTGGTTCTAAATTTTTATTTGTAATAACAACTGCAAAGTAGAGTTTACAGTTAGTAATCCTAAGTTCCTGTATGTAATTGCGAGATTTTATTTTAATTTTCTGAACAGTTGATTTTATTTTGGAAAAAACTTTCCTACATCTCTTATTTTCAGCCTGAGCTTTCTTGCCAGAAATAGATTTTAATTTCGTGCATTACGCAAAGTAGAGTAGGAAACTACTATTTGAGCTGATGTTTGAGTTACTTCAGATAGACCACGTTCTGCCTTTCAGCCACGTTGTTACTATGCTAGTTAAGCTTCCTATTTTACTGCCGTGCATTTTAACTGCCCGTGGTAGGCCCAAAAGCCAACTATGCGTTTAATTATCTCTGTGGAACTTCGGCTGTTTTGTTCAACTTTAGTAGTTTCAATTTTACGTTTCCATTTTGAGTTACAGTCAAAAGTATTGGCAAGGCCCTGTAAGCACCAAGAGTGCTAACTGTACATACTATTCTTGAGTTATATAAGGTATAATATATAAGGTATTTCTATAATATATAAGGTATTTAAGGAATATATAAGGTATTTCTCTCGCTTTATTAGAATGAATTCGTGGTGTAATGGTCAGCACGCTCGGCACGTATTCGAGAGGTCCGAGGTTCGAGTCCCAGCGAGGACACTGCACATTTTTCACGTCTCCTGTTTAAAAATAACCTAATGTCTGTACAAATAAAATTGTTTTTTTTTTAACTTTTTATTTAACTCATCTGTTACTGGCACAGTTAAACTTAGCAAATAGTTGCTTCATGGTTCAACTAAAGATCTAGCCTTCCAAGCAACTTTAATTTAGCTACGATCTTACGTAATGAGGAGCAAATTCGTTATACTGCTAAATGAAAACTCAGAAAACACAAAGAAAAAAATATTGGTCACCAACAAATGGCATCAGAATGATTAGTTAATGCTGCAACATGCTGCACATATTGAAGATACATCATTTCCTGGAATATGTTGTCGCACATATTCATCTGATGTCGTATGAATTACGACGACATCAAATGGCAAATTTTTTCATGACCTTAATACAATAAAGAAATGGGTACTTCATGTACGCAGCTCTATGTACAGTAACTCTCAGAGTGCATATTTTAATATATACTTTATATACAGTAACTCATAAAGTGCATAATTTATGTACAGCCATAACCTGTAAATATAGTTGTAATTTAAGAGATAAAATATAATAAAAATAGGGTCTTGTATTTTTAGCTAACATAAACTAACCTGTTCTTGAAGACTGTATGAGGAATTATCCTCAAGCTTTAAGAAAAGACATACTCATAAAGTGCATAATTTATGTATAGCCATTACCTGTAAATATAGTCATAATTTAAGAGATAAAATATAATAAAAATAGGGTCTTGTATTTTTAGCTAACATAAACTAACGTGTTCTTGAAGACTGTATGAGGAATTATCCTCAAGTTTTAAGGAAAGGGAGAGGAAGGGTGTAAAGGATCATTTATTCAATCACATATAGTTGAACAGATGCCCGACTTGGACACTTGGCTTTACATAAAGCCGCCATTTCTGGCTTCAACCAAACAGGTAATGCTGAACTTAAAAATAAAATGTTATTAAACTAGACTAACGACTCACAGGATAATTTAACACTCAGGAAGCTTAACGGCGGAAACAAGCTTAACGGCTAGAAGCACTCACATTCACAGAATCAAGTCGCTAGTAATTCAAAGTAACAACGTGGTCGACAAGCAGGCATAACACGCTCTGAAATCATTTCCAAAAAGCTTCTCTAAAATAGAACTTTTTTCTACTTTAATTTGAATACAGGCGCGCTATCTGATTAGCAGTCTGGCTGGAAAGCGCGAATGAAACCGAGACTGAAAGGAAAGTTACTGTAACTAAAAATGAATTGCTTGGGGGGGGGGTCTAAATAAATAAATCTTCACAAATGACGTAGCAATTTTAGTTAACAGCGATTTAACCCCTTTCTTTTATATTATTTGTGCATATTTGAGATAAACTGAAGAATTTATAAATAAAACATTAGCGCAGTTATCAGTGTTGGGTACTGGAAATCTTATTTTTTTTCAGCTGCATATATTCGCTTTGTTTGTCAATGAATGTTTCAACTCTGAGCACGTAAAGGAAAAAGTTAAAATTAAAAAAAGATTCACGGCTCTAAGTTGAACTCGAGAAAGGTTGAACCGAGAAAGGGCACAAACAGATAAGCGTACTTGTTTCAAAGAATTAAAGCTTCTCAGTATTGAGAAAGATTCTTAACGCAAATTATGTATCTATTATTCGTAAATGAACTGAAAAAAATATATCTTTAATTATGAACGTTTTAGGTCTTTATTTCTTTATTTACATTGAAATCCGTATTATTAAAATTTCTCCTTTAATTTTCCAGTGTTTTCTGGTGCAATTCCACCCCTATTTTCCTGTTTTCCATCCCAATCCTGGAGGTTCACTAGCTTCCGAGCGGTAAAGTCACTGGACACTAGTAGCTTGGTCGGGGTTCAAATCCCGGCGAACGGGTTGGCTCCATGGGCGTGCTCATTGTGTTCCTCATGTGTGACTTATATACAAGCCAGTTTCTCTTATAAAGGTCTTAGAAGATATCTAGAAGGAACGATGCTTCTTGCACGAAAGCATCCCTCCTTCTAGATAGCTCTCGAGTGCTTTGCGATTATTCAGCCCAATCCGGTCTCAGTCCTAGGATTGTGCTGTACTGAATTATGTATTTAACACGTGTTGGGTTAAAATATTTATATTCCTTTAGATTTTTTGAACATTTTCGAAAGAAGCAGCATCGGGGTGTTCAGCAATTCCATTCCATATACATTCCATTCCATTTCCCGTCAAGATAAGGGGTTCAGCAGCTGCGGAGTGGTAAAGTCGCTCAACCGTACAATTCCGATGTGGGTTCGAGTGCACGCGATTCGGCTATCTGCACGGGCGTTTTCCCTGTTTTCCCCGTCGTTACGTAGATACAAACCAATTTCCCTTAGAAATTCCTCCACGAAAGCATTCCTCCACCTAGGCGAGGTAGCCCTCGCGTGCTTTGCCATAATCGGATAGACAAAACCAAAACAAAACCCCTCAATATAAAAAGAATAGTACCACTTGAGGGAAATATTTGCAAATCTGATGCGCAGACAATTCTGTTCGAAACATGCTCGGCTATGTCTTGAATTACTGAGTCTTTTCCTTTTTTAATAAACGCACAAGTTTCCATGCATAAGTAATTTCATAGAAACATTTGCACTGTTGTATTTAACAGTTGATTTTTAATATAATATTTTATTATTATTATTAATATAATAGTTTATATTCATACTTTAAGTTCTGAGGTAATTAGTAAACCTGTCATAGACGCTTAACTCAAAATTGCTTCATGTGATAAACTAAAATCTACATACCAGGAACAAACTGCAATTTTTTTTACATTATAATTTATACACTTTTTAAGTATTTCTTAACATTTTCGAACTTAAATGATAAACTCTTCGTTGTTTCTTCCTAACAAGTTACATTTCAGTCCAAAAGATACTTTTGAATTAGACGTTCGAATACAAACAATTTCCTTTCTATACTTTGCCCATTTCTTTTTCTATACAAAGCATAACTGTAAACATAATTACTACTGTAAGAAATTACTTTAAAAACTCAATTAAATTAAAGAAAAATTGAAGAAATTAGAGAGTAAATAAATATATAATAAAAGTATAATAACAATAAATTTTAAAAAAATCTGGAGTGCTCTGTAAATGAAAGCTTTTAAGTTAAAGTTAAAATGATCTGCGGCTGTGATGAAACTTTTCATCTCATTTCAATTTTATTAATTTTCTTAATCTCAGTAGAGTAACCGTAACAATTTTTCTTGTAGTATATTATTAACGTAATAAAGAGATAAATCAAAGCACATGTCTAGCATACAATGTAGTTTGAATTTAATTAAATTAATATATTTTACCTCTCCTGAATTTTTATGTGAATTTAAATTGTCTGCAAAACAATCTGAATCAAAATTCGGAAAGTGTGTGTTAGTGTTTCTGCACATTAGATGCTTCTCCTCCAAATTTCGGTTACTAACACTAAAGCGTCCCTGAGGGGGAATACAGTAACCAAAAACAAGCATTATATTATTAGCATTTTAGAACTTATATGTTAACTATTTATATACATGTTGTTATACATGTATATAAATGCTGCAAGAATTTTAATAATTGGTAAGAATAATTCTTTTCTCTTTAGTTAACTTACATTAAACAATTGGGACGCATTATAGGTTATGCATTTTTCTACAAATTACTATCTTTTTCGATTCTAATAAGTACTCAGTTCTGAAATGCATTACCTAATTTTAATTATACACCAACAGAGAAAAAGACTTTAATTCAAAGAAAGAAATCTGAAAGCTTTCAAATTTTTTATTACGCCTAAAGTAGAGTTTTTTTTTTTTTTTTTTTTCGTTTCCATAGCATTTAGGATTAAAATATTTAAAAACAGCGTATCTTCAAAATATCCAATAGACAGTCTTGCGCGCTGGAGATAAAAATTATTATTTATGTGTTGACACTGTTCACTTTGAAATCGTTGTGTTTTTTAATCAAAAGTTCGTCAAAGTTTTTCAACAGTTTACGGAACAGATAATAAACTTAATTTGAAATTTAGAATTTGGGCTTCCAGATACCCATATTCGAGTGGAGGACTATGTTATTCAAAGTTTGATAGTTCTAGATATCGTTGTTTTTTCTGAGTACGAGAAACTTGCATACATGCATGAAGATTCTACATTATTCAATTTCTTTAAATAAAATAAAGGCGGAAAATATTTGGTGGCAACAATTTGAAAAGTGATACAACGCTTTTAGTGAATCGATGCAAAACGCCGTTTCGAGATTAGCAGAGCTTCTGTGCTAACGTCTCTCTGGCCTAAAAATAAATCAATAAAAATAATAATAAAATAAAGTCAATGAATAATAAGAAAATACAATTAATTAAAATTCTATTAAAAATAATGAATAGCGAGAAAATAAAATGAATAAAAATAATAAAATCATTAATTCCAAAACTAAAAGTTTCCGAATTTTCGAAATAATTAGACAAGTATTAACTATTCCCAAACAATCAACTTTCCAGATTATTAATTTTAATAGCATTTTCAGTTAAATTAGTAATTTTCAAAATTTATTCTTTCGGATTAGGAAGTAACTACGAAAATTTAAACGGTTCTAAGATTTGTCGAATATTAACTTTTAGATGAAAAAAATGCGTTTTCGCGTCAAAGATTAATTCTAAATATAAATAACCTAGATATTATTTCCACCGACTGAAAATATCATCAAAACATTTTAATGAATATTCAATCAGCTGAAGATATTATCTTCATATGGTAATCTACTTCTTTGCAAAAGAATTGGACACATTTTACCGGATATTATTTGCGAATATGTCTAAAAATACATGCAAAATAGAACTGCAACTTTATGTACGACATCAGAAAGAGAAATTAATGATAAAAAAAATTCCTGTTATCTGTGAGAATCTTTATATCCATCTTTAAGGATCTGCAATACTGTAGTAGGTATGTAGCTCAGCATTTAAAATATAGCTGATAATTTGTAATATATATCCAGCCTCATAACTTCATATTATGTTATTTGTATGTTTATGTGGATATGAAAATAAACATGTGTTTCTTTTAGTCAGCTCATCCTTATTTGGTTCAGAATCCCTGAAACATAAGAATCCTAAGAACACAATGCTTGATAAATTTTAAATTATGCATTGCAACGTTATCAGCTATAGTTTGAGTTTCCCTACATCGAATCTAGTAAACAGCAACCTCTCATCTTTAAGCAATATCTGTGTCATACCGGCATGCAGATTAGAAACCAGTTAGGAACCGGAAAAGGCACAGAAATTAGAGTAAAACTAAAATGCATTCTTTTATTATTCGCATACAGCCATTCTTTTGGTATGGCACATCCAGACCCAATTTCAACATTGGAAGTCTTCGTTTGGGATATTAAGGAAAATAATATTCGAACTTTTTGAATGCCATACCTATTCGAAGGAGGATGAATGCCATACCTATTCGAAGGAGGATGAATGCCATATGTATTCGATAAATATATTATTCCAAATGTTTTCGCATTAGTTTGGTAGTAGAGGAATAGGATTAAGTGATCGCAGAAGTCTTCCTCTCCTGATCAAAACTGAAATAGTTTTGGATGACCCCAAGAGCTGGGCTGTACTTGTTGTCCTATCTTATAGATTACAGCTCATGTTAGCCTTCATACTAATCGAAAGAATAAAACGTACAAAAAGAACAATACAAAAAAATGAAGAGCTTGCCTTTTGTAAATATGATTAAGATGGTAGAAGTATGGATGAAGAGCGTAGACAGAATTATTTTCGAAAAGCTTTGTAATCCGATTTGAAGTCTAAATTAGAAGTCTTGCTATTAGTTTCCAGAATAAAATTTTAATTCCATTTTAAAATAATTTTTTAACTTAAACACGTTTTATGTTCCAAAGAAGGTTTAAACTTTTCATTAAACATCGTGCATCACTTATTCTTTTGGGTATTTTGGTAAATTTCCAGAAGTGCCCTATTTCGAAACTTTTCGGTAGTATTCAGTGGCCCATCTTTCTGCTCATTACCTTCATCAAAGCTACAATTATCTCAAAAACTTTAAACACACTCATAACAATTATTAATTTAGAAGTCAAACAACAAAATTATTGTTATATTTTCAAATTTTCACATTGAAATTTTGAAAATATAACGCTGATTTTTGTTGTTTGAATTCTAAATAATTATTTGTTCGGCGTGTAACTGTATCTTAACACTCATAACAAGTTATAATAAATTATGCAAAAATTACTTATTGGGCAAGGAATTATAGCTTTATGAATCCACTAGGCAATGAAATTAAGAGATAATATATTATGTAGGAAAAATGTATGTATGATAAAATATATTCAAAGACATGTAAGCATAAAACATAGTAAGAAATACAATAAAAGAATAAGCTATCTGATGTTAACAAAATATTACCCACAAAATAGAAGAAACTCTTGTAGGATACTCCATTACCATAACCGTAGAACACGTGTTTGTGTCGTTGTTGCTATCTCCTTGATAAAATCTATTCAAACAGCTGCATGCGCGAAGATGACAGCCCAGGCAATTTGAAAAATGTTATCATCTTAGAGGTTCGGTCTCTTAAACAAGACCCCAAATTTTAACAAGTTAGCAAGGAGCGTCGGTCAATCAAAAATATATGCAGTTGCCAGTTCTGTCTCCGGACAGATACAGTTTCTGAAGGTTTTCCTACGCTCTTTGTCAATTTTAAGTCATGTTTGATGGCCAGTTCAAAACCTGACCATGGTTTTAGACGATCTCATTCATGTTATGGAGCTCATGTTATGAAGCTCATGCATGTAATTCATGTTATGCTTTATTGGAATTTGAGGCCACGGCCATTTGCGTACGAAAGGGGGACATTTACGTTATTATTACTATTGAGATTTCCAGCTTCGGTTGGTAGTTTATTCTGTGTTCTTGTTACTTGCGTTACTTGTAAGGTTGACATGCACTGGCAACTATTAAAGAATGCAGATCTTTCCTAACTTTTGAAAATCGTTTAGGCAAAAGTGGATCCCGTTGGTGATCAGGAAACTTCCATCCAGGATGGTCTGTACATCTGCCTTTCAGTCACAGAAAACAACGAGTTTTTTTTTTTTTTTTTTTTTTTTTTTTTTTTTTTTTTTTTTTGCCCAGAAATGGGAAATGATTTATAAATGTCAAGTGCCTTCGCTATTGCCAGAATCTAGTAAGTGAAATTAGAGACTATGGCTGCAGTGACAATTTTTGTGTTGTTAAGCAATATTGACTGGGGTTGTCAGAAAAACTCCAGAACCTCCATTAATAGACTGTTCCGCCTGTGAAGTAGATAAAGTGAAATTATCGAAATGTTTTCGAATAGTTTTTAAGTTCAAGAATATGTTTGGATTTCGTAAAGCCCTTTAATATTATGAGGTATTTCTCTCACCTTCTTAGCATGCCTTCGTGGTGTAATGGTCAGCACACAGGGCGCGTATTTGAGAGATTCGAGATTGGAGTTCCGGAGAAAGCATTGCTCATTTTTCATGTCTCCTGCTTCAAAATAACCTACTATCTCTACAACTTATTCAATCGAAATAAAACTAATAAACATGTAAGCTACAATATACATTTTGAATCAGCGTCTTCCAGCATGCATTTAAGGAATTTTATGCTACAAAAGCAAGGCCACCATGAAGCGCAAACACATTAGCAATTGGCTATTAAAGAAGGGCTTAAAAGGTGGCAGAAACAGAAAATTAATTTGCAGTTTAACAATTCTTTTACTATTTTTAACCAATAGAGTTTTGCGGAGGAAGAGATTTTTTGTAAGTAGCACTATTCTGGCACGTATTCTTAGAGAATATTTTGATTAACACTATTGTCTTATAAAATTACATTGATCGTAATTTTACGATGCTGATTGAGTGTTTCAAAATGCAATATGCAAGCTAGAAACAATCTGAAATTTTTCGCATAGTATCAGTATGAATTAAACAAAAGTCTTTATATTGGGCAAATAACATTATATTTTGCTGTATTCAGTCCGAATAATAAACATTTTTTTTCCAATTTGTGGTGTGATGAGGTTCTTTTTTCCCTTTCAGTTATTATTAGTAGAAGAAATTCTCGTGCCTTCATGATCTATTCACACATCCTTTCAAAATCTGACACTTTAACAGACAGAACATCCTTTAAAAGGTGTATTAATTGAAAGTTGTTATAAAATAGAAGACACACATTAACCCATTTCCTATTTCTTTTAAATTATCTCCCCCATTAACCCATTTCATTTTGTGTCTTCTGCAACCGCTGTTTCATACCTTCAGACTCCTATGAGTGTTACCCACGAACATATGTGTCTATTATAACTGTTGAATGTTTATTTTGTTTGTATTATATCAACCTATGTTCACACCAAATTTTATTAAAATCTGTCCAGATCAGATATTGAAATTCTCTTAATTTCTTTCACCAGTGTATATAGCAAATGTTCGAATATAGGTATTTTGACACAAAATCGGACTTCTTATGAAATGACATACCAATTTTTTTCAGTATTTCGATTCTACGACTCAAATTATGCCAAACTAAAAAGTTCTGTAAAAATAGCACTAGTAGTTTTTAAAAAATTAGCTCTCAAGGAGCTCATAGTGCACAACTTGGCTATTAGTCCACCAGCTACAGAGCATGACCTTGCGTGGGTGGAGAGAAGGTCTCGCAGTGTGAGGCACAGTGTCTCGTGGTGACAGCCAATGTCTGAAACGCCTGGTTGTGAATAGGGAACGTACGTTTCGTGGCTGTTGAGTGCTCGATCAAATATGGATGCATTGCGGTGCCGAGTAAACAGTGACACACAGGCAGTGACACGCTGTTGCTTGTTTGCATCGGACAATGAGTGGGGTACCCACTTGCTCAGCTTGTATGCCTTCCCTATGCGGTGTAAATGGACAGCCTGGACGAAATTCTCAGAATTGCTTCTTTGAAAGGTTTATTGACTAAAACCTAAAAAGATTGTAAAATAAAAGTCTATGATTAAATTCCTTCCGAAATTCTAATTATATACATTCACAGTTTTTAACAACATTTAGCCCAAACGGGCTATTAGACTGGAAATGGGATTTGACAGCATATCATTATAAAAGTCTGAATCATTTTTCAAGTTGTTCCCACGAAATATTATTGACCTGTATCATATTTAAAGAAATTAAATTTTGAAAAGTCTGCATGAATGTATGTATATTTCTCTCGCTGTGAAGAAAGGACGGTACCTAGAGCCATCAAATTTTGGATAACGTAGTCCTCCCCCTGAACATGTGCACATGGAAGACTGAATTTTGAATTTTGAATTTTTTTTGTTATCTATTTCATATTTAGCAAAACTTTAATGAATTTTCGATTAACAAACTCAACGATTTAAGGCGATCTGTTGCAAGACAAAAGTCAAATAAAAACATTTTTATCTCCAGCGCGCAAGAGTGTCTATTGGTAGTTCTTAAGATATTCTGTTTTTAAATATGTTTAGTCCAAAGTGGGATTAGCCCAAATGCTCTCGAAAAGTGTATGTGTCTGTAAATGAAAGCAACACCCGTTTGGGCGTAATAGTATAAAATCGAAAAGATTTTACTTTTGTGATTTTGCTATTGGATTTTATATGGCGTAAGAGCGAAGAAAATGATGCTTAATAATAAAGCTAAAAAGACAAAAAAATAAACGGCCTAATAGGAGTGAGTGTAATAGCAGACTGGTAGACTGCAAATAATAGAGAGAGTAAATAGCCTTAAGAAACACTTTTCGGTGACCGTTTACTTCTGAACTTTATCAAATTTTTTAATGGTATTATTATTTCTTTTAGCCTCATCTAATGTATCCAGGCTTTCACCTTCTATCCGAAAAATATTTAAATATAGAAATATTCATCAAATTTGCCTTACAGTTAAAAATAAAACAGTACCTTTCTTTCTTTCCACCGACAGCGAGGCAGCCGGTCCACTGGGTAGTTAGCATATCGGCCAGGTAGCCCCGCTGACGGAAATAACTTGATCAACATAACACAATTATATATATATATATATATATATATATATATATATATTGCTCAAGATGATTGATAGGGGCAGTGCAAACAAAAGCTGGACGAGACGATAGTGCAGTGATGGAAGAAGGGTGCATTGCGGGTGAGAAAAACAATTTCAGTTACATATTTACAGAGTTATGGATAGGGGGTTACATAAGACATCCACAACGTGAACAATAAATGAGTACAGTGCAATATATGAGCAATTAACAGATTGACTGATAAAACAGAAAAAGTAATATCTAAAATAGGACTAAATACTAAATAGCAATACTGAAAATAATAAGAAATAAAATACTAAAAAACGAAATAATACATAAAACAAAAAACAAGCAAAACAGTGAAAACAATACATAAACTAAGGCAAAATACATAATTCAAGGTTCATAATTTGGTTTCAAGGAAATAAGTATATACAGGGAATAAGAAAAGCCGAATAAGCTAACTTAAGATAAAATTAATTCGTTACAGGTACAGAGTATACAGGGGGCTGTGCTGGTGATGAGGATAGCAGCTGAGAATTACTCCAGCCTGTCTGAGATTTTGCGTGCAATATTTATGCAATCGCATATGCGTTTCAATGCATTGCGATTTTTCGAAGTAGCTTCGGCCCATGCATGGATGTGGTTTGCTACTGGTTGCCTAAGATGATGTTTGGCAGTCCCTCTGCAAGCGAACAGATAGTGGTCGGGATATCCTGCCATCCTGCATGAGCAATGGTCGTTTTCGCGTCTTCTGAAGCGATGCAGGTAAGTCATGAAGGGACCATGTTCTGTTAGAAGTTGAGTGAAGTGAGACGAGCCACATTTTAGAAGCCGGCAGACTTTTGGAAAAAATCTGTGAACTGTTCTGCCGGTGGTCTCTGTCTCCCACAGATGTTGCCAACGTTTGAGTAATTCTCTCTCGAACTCAGCTTTTTAAGAACGAGCCCGGGAGAGGCACGTCAAGTGGGCGAACGTAGGCTCTTTTGGCTATTGCATCTGCAATTTCATTACCCAGTATTCTGATGTGGGCAGGTACCCACTGGAGTTCAGGCCTATAGTATTTTGGTGTTCTTAGTAAGAGTTTTTGTATGGCCCTGACGAAAGGATGTTACAAATAGCATGAATTATTCATCTAAATTTCTTTCATTAATATTCTAGTATGCTTATTACTAATATTTATTACTATTGCTTTGTTACCAATCAGTGAAAATTATTTCTAGAAATATTATTAATTTTGCTTTTTCATTAAATCCTATATGAAAGCAACGAAATATATACTGAGTATTATCAATGAACAACACTGGATACTATCAATGTAATTTGTGACATCCATAGATCATATCTAAATATTAATTAAAACAAAGGGCATTTATTATTACAAATTTTTAACGTTATTTCATGCTGTGACTCATGCAATTATTCTAGGAACAAGAGTCTTTCCATTTTTTTACTTTTCAAAGTTATTTATGATAAAGTTACTTTCAACGCAAGTAAATATTTTTGACAAAAATTTAGGTTTTCAAACTTTTAATTCCTACATTAAATTTTACTCCACCTTCTGATGAAAATAGTATAAACATTCTTCAAGCACTTTCACACGTTTATGACAGTAAACAAGCAGAATGACAAATTAAAAAAGAAAATTTTAGATAAAGGTTTCTTGGGATATTAAAACATTCCCATACATGCTAGACTTTGAAATATACTTAAATAAGAGAATGATCGATGAATAATTAATTTTAATCCAATACAAGATTACGACATTTCACAAACGTAAAAGGGCTTTAACTCGTATTTTTTCGTCAATCTTTTATCTAAATTCCACAGGTGGTAAAAGAAAGTTCTAACATAATTTTCCACTATGATTAATAGAACCTCAAACTTAGACTCTCACTTCAGTTAAATAATAAGATACCGAGATATTATTTTGAAACTCTTGAAAAGGCCTTCATTTGACATGAACTTGTTCTTAACAAATACAGTTTTCGAAATCTTTTGTTTCTGGATTAGAATATTATTTTGAAGTCTACCTTTTCTTTAAAAAACGATATAGAAACTTTAATAATCTTTCTCAGTTTAACTTTTTCTGACATTTAGGCAAGATTTACATTGAAAAATATTGTAATAAAAGAAAGAAGACATTCTCATGTTCACTAAAAATACATCGTTATGTAAATACTTAACAGTTATATATTCTTTTACACCCCTCCCCGATGCAATATCCGTGGCTTGCAAATTATGCCCCCAATACCTGCTTTAGTTATAAAACATTTTCCGCCTCTAAATCTCGCCGCTCTGGGCAGTCGCCCAGTTTTCAATAGTTAAGTATCTTAACTGTATAACCTCATGAATTTTAATTAAATATCTCTCAAATATAAATTATTTTCTGGCATGAGATATTTTGCACAATTATGCATTTATGCTTTATACTTAGCATAGTAGCTTAACCACAAATTTTATTCAGTTAATATTAAAGATAAAAGGCGAACATTTAACTCTCAGAATTATTTATATTATGTATATTTTTAATATTCTTTAACGTGAAGTAGCAAAGTTTAAAATCTACAGGGAAACAATAAGGCTTAGAATTATGATGTTAAATTGACATAACATTACATAGTATCAGTGAAATATCACTGATACTATGTAATGTATCAGTGATAACACATATAACTCTCTCAATATTCGCTAACTTCAATCTGTTTTCAGTTTGATCAGTTATTCAGTCTTAAGCAGTTCACTTTGGTCAAGATAAACAGCAAGAATTCTTGTTTTAAGAATTTCAGCTTTTGAAATTTCCTAAAAAATTTTTATTTCGTCAGTTAAATGAAAGTAAGCAGAATTCCCAAAGAAGTAGTCATTTGATGAGCGACAATTTTAAAAATTCCAGGGATGTCTATCCAGATATAATCTGTCACATAAATGGAGCAAATGTTAAATTATAACCCTGGCTGCCAAATTTTATGTGACAGGGGTTCGGGACTTCGAATCTAGTTGCGGGTCGAAAGGTAAATAACAAAAAAAAAAAAAAAAAATAAATAAATAAAAAATAAAAATAAAAAATAAAAAATTCAAGGACATAGGTTTTTAAACAAAAAACTTCACAAACAAAAATGCTGTTGATAGTGTCTCTGGGTCACTGGTTATGTTTTAGTCGATGATAACCATTAATATTCTATCCGCAAACATCCCCTTTCTTTAGGGATTTATATAAGTACTGAGTACCAAAGCCAGTCAACTCACAATCCTCTTGGTGATCATCTCTTGAAGATCCATCTCTCTCTCGTCCAACAATGAAGGTAAGTATTCTCTCCTAAAACTTAGTTAGTTAATTAGTAAAGCTTGCCTTAACTTCTTTACTTAGAAACATTTTAACTTGCCGTTTGATAATCCTACGTAAAGTAAATACTTTTAGCAAAAAACGTTGTGTATTACTCAGCGCGAATTTTTATTTGAATAATACCATTTAATTGTGTCCTGAAACATGAGAGCAGTTTTTTTTTTACGACTGCTGTTTAAATTCATCTGTTTGAAATATCTTTAAAATTTGTAATCATTGTATTAATACCGTATTGCAGTAGAAAATGAAGATATTCTCAATTCAAAGATATTGTGCATATGCCACATTTTTAAGCTTAGAAGCTCTATATTTTAATGAGACTGTTTATGAAATTTTGAAACTCTTTGTAAATGAAAAGTCTTTCTACGGCTTTTGTCCTCAAAACTTGCAAAATAAAACAAATGGAACTGCATTTTTCGGCAATAATAATTCTATATGAAACTGATAATACAAATTGGCTTTGTTATAAAATAAATGGATTCGGCAGAAAATGCAAATGGTTTTCAGAAATCTCTTTTATAAGCTTTTTCTTTGTGATAAGGATTTGATGATCGAATTATCAGGTACTTTTTTGCTCTTTTTCTAAGCAGTTTTACATTGAAGCAAAATTGGCACTGCAGAAACATAGTTTGTTTATTAAGATTCCTATATTTAAGACACAATATCCCTATATGTAGCTTAACCTATATGAATAACCCTATATGTAATTCCTATATATAGCTTAACGAATTGTGGTGTAAGGTTTAGCCTAAGTTTCTAATAGTTTAGTTAAAGCTACTTTCTGTCCTTCCTAATATCAGCTCACCGATAGCCTTAAATGCGAGTGGTATTTAAGTCGAAGTTGCACTGACTTCGAGAGAGAGCCTCAGAGTTTCTGACTAGCGCGAGTTCGCCTTTTGTCTACGTCTCTCTCTACGCTATTACTATGCTCGGCCGTATTTCAGGCCCTTGATAGCTTGTTAGCGTATTCGATATTTAGGGGCCAACTACTTAGAATTTTGATAGCTTCGGCTATATCGTTCTAGTTAAGCATTAGTTAAGACTTATTTCTTATTACTTTGAGTTCAAGCGCAAGTGGGGGCTTTGTTGTACGCCCTGAGAAAGGAGCCGACTGGTTTATTTTTATTTTGAGAAATAAAGGGTAATTAACCCTTCTTGGGCTTTCCGTCTCTCTTCCTGAACTTAAGCGTTAAGTCGCTTAACTGTTCACGAGGTTCCTACACATTTAGCTGTTAGATAAAAGGGTGGAACCCCACAGTAGTAATGTTCTGTTTTGTCTTAGTTATAGTAGTTAAGACTTATAATAGTACTTTGTATACAGTATGAATATCCTCAGGATGTGAAATTGGTAAAGTCCTCAGGTCATCTGAAAATCAACATCTTCAGGGCATCCTCTCATATCCCGGGAGGTAGCGACTTAAATAAAACATCCTCAGGATGTCCTGAGGACATCTGAGAATCAACATACTCAGGACATCCTAAGTATGTCCCGGGATATTGCGACTTAAATAGGACATTCTAAGAATGTTCTGTGCTATGAGGGTAGACTCTTAAGGTACATTAATTTTGTACATTTTAATTAATTGTAACATACAACACATTGCAATTGATTTTTCCTTTTTTTCTTATTAAGCTGAAACGGTATTGTTAACAACCTTTGCTTTTTGTTTCCTCTGATCGTCAGTAGTACACTTTTAAGCAAACTGTCAAATGTTTCTGGCCATATATTTTAACTGCCATATTTTTACGGACATTAAAAAATATACTCCATGCACAAAACAAGAAATGGTTTAGACTGATTTTGCTATAACTTAACACATTCCTAATTGAAAATACTTGAGAGGTACCTGAACATTTCACACTCTAGTCTCAATTGACTTACTAGATCAAACTTCAGGACAACACATAAATTTTTCTTAGTTATACTTATACAGGTATATTTTAACTGTAATTCTAATATTACTGAATTTAAATCTTAATATTACTGACACCGTTATGAAGACATATGCATAAACAGCAGTAAAAGTATTTATTGTATAATAAATAGTATTAATCATGAAATAACATAGAATTCAAACATTAGATCTCTTAATACAGATGTTATTCTAATAAAATATGCTCTCTATTTATACTTAAAAGTTAATTCTTACTGATCGAAGTCAGAAACAATTAAAAGGTTACATTTATAGAAGTTAAAAAAATTGTATTTTACTTAGCGAATAAAACTAAAATCATTACTAGTAACAATTCTTAATTATTGTTTTAAAATAATACATTTGCAATTCAACATTTATGTGATCTTAAGTAAAAGCCGTATGAATTTTAAAATTGGAGTTCTATCTTTCGTGTTCATAATCCAGTTTATCCCTTAAAATAATTGATCGTTAAGAAATGTCTACAAGCCTACAAGTTTAAAAATGAATCCCCAGAAATTGAAGTTTATTGGGGAAGATATTTTAAACGAACTTTTCGAAGTAGCAATTCCAAACAGTAGAAAAGAAAAACTTAGTACTATATTATTCTATCATAAAGACAGTATAATTCTGAGATATAAATTTCATCATAAAGAAATGAAGGCAGTAGCATTTGTTTCATAAGAAAAAAATTATCTCTTCAAGATGCAGCTTCAAGAGCTTGCAACAAGTATTTCTCGCCAGTGATGTGATGAGAAATTCTACTTTTATAGTATATTAAATTATGTAGTGAAACCATTAACATATAATCTCATATCTAAATAAAAACACACAGTTAGTTTAATAAAAAGCATTGCTTAAGATAAATACCATAAAAGTAACATCGCTGTGCTAAAAATTTTGACTTTGTATTTTGTTTGTTTTGATTTTAATGAAGCTGTTTACATGTAGTATAGATAGAGAAAATTATTTGCTTATCGCTTTCTTACAAACGTATTCTAAAACGCTTATGTTAGATATAATTCTTTCATTATATTCTAAATTTTACTAATTTTTACTCAAAAATACGATAAAAATATATTCTTACGTAGTTAGTTGTCTTGTTCAGAAATGCAAAGAAATTATTAACTAATATTTTAAAATGTGATACTCTAAAAATGCCAGTATCAACTTTATCCTGAATGACAAACTGCTTTTGTAATAGTCTTTCAACAAAAAGAAGCTTATTTATGAAATTTTTAGATTTTATGTAAAAGTTAGGTAAAAAAAAAGTACAAATGGAAGCAATTTCTATCTCAAAATTGAGTATGTCTATATTCTATGATTTAGCAGTCTTTTAATCATAAATTTCTTTAGAATCATTAATTTAAAAAAATTAAATTCATGCTGAACATAATTTTATTAACTATCAAGAATGCAATATGCGTGATTTTCAATACGCGTGATGTGTTTGCTCTGATTTTATAAAGGGAAATAGTATTTAATGTTTAACAAAAATAAGTAAATTGGCATTTGTAAGAGATATGAAAGCTTAACTTTGAAAATAAAACAATCGAAATTAAATCAATCGGTTAAATATTCTCTAGAAAAAAAAAATTATTTTTTTCTTCGTTTCATTTCTTTGATCCAGTTCGCTCGCTACAAAATTGAAAATACAGTTTTTCAAGAATAAGCAGGACGGGAGATTAAAAAGATGCAAATTAATTAGAACTATAAATATTCTGAACATTAAACCTATATCGGGTGTTAATTTGAATAAAAGAAAATAGCAAAAAAGGGGAAGGAGAAAAGAAAGAAATTTTATAAATGACCGAATATGTAAAATAATTGCTGAACAGAGTTTTCATTTCACACCCCATCGCTTTTTCTTTTAGTCCAAAGGGGGCTTTGTCCCTGAGAGACTATTGTTTTCATTTTGGAATTTCTTTGAAACACTATAAATGTCTGTATCACTTTTCAAACTGTTGCCACCAAATATTATCGCCCTGTATTATATATGAAGAAATTAAATAATGAAGAATCATAAATGTATGTATGTCGCTTGCATTGTGATAAAACAACGGCAGCTAGAGCTAACGGTACCTAGTACCTATTCAGATTTTTTTTTTAAAATTAAAATCCCTTTTTTTTTCTTCAGGTCTTCATCATCCTTTCTCTTGCTGCTGCTGCTGTTGCTCAATTAGCGGTAAGTATCTTCTACACTAAATTTATTTTCTAAGACTTATGAACTTGAGATTTAAAATAAAAATTAGGTTAATATATCTGTTAAAATCCTTAAATTAAAAAATTATTAGAACTAAATTTAAACCTTACCAGGATGATGATAAAATTGCACAAAAAACTTATTACATTTTAAAATAATGAAGCAGATTTAAAGAAGAGCCTTACTATTTTAGAAATATTTTTTATAATGTTGATGTACCAATCATATTAAAATTCATAACACATATTGATTATTCATGATTTCATGTTTTTAATAATCTGAAGCATCAAAACTTGAATAATCCAAAAAGAACTGTATCACGTTTCGTTCCGAATGACTTTTTGAGCATTGAAAGATTAAAAAAAACCGTAAAATGAAATGGAAATTGAAAGAGAAAAATGAAAAATCAGTACATTTTTGCACCCCATACTCAAATAAATCTTGCAATGACACCGACATGACAAAGTCTCACACAAATAAATCTTTAGTACATAATTTAAAAAAAAATTGCTACAAAAATGTAAAATGTTGTTTAGTGTAATTTAATCTGTTTGCCCCATGTGTAACGTGAGTATGTGCCAAATTCCCTTAGAAAGTCTTCCACGAAGATATCCCTCTCCTTAGACATTGGCTTTTACATAATCAAATAAACGAAACTAAACCTATTTTATCTCAGCAGTAGATAAGGTATTTGAAAGCATTTATATATGATTATATGATCATTCTTTAGTAACATAAAGTAACACACGTTTCGGTAAAGGTGCAAAGCATAAATGTAGATAAATAATGAAGGAATAATACCTCAAATTTACTTAGCCCAGGAAATCAATGTAACAAGCTTATTATGTATTTTAAATTTACATTTAATTTTAGGATATGTTTCAGAAAATAAAAGTTTTCGGTTATTAGAGATCCATTTGCGAATTTCGTCTTGATCTATGTTGCCAGTGTTGATCGTACTTCTCCGTATTTAAAATATTACTAAATTTGCAGGGAACTTAAACTCATGCTACTGTTACTACTGCTTTAAGTACTAGCTTATTTAATAATTTATAAATTACCCATTCCAAATGAATCAATTTCATGTACCCTTATTTTTTTATTTGAGAAAATAAATTGATACTGGTGCATGAAATATAAGAAAAATTATACGAGTTTGACTTAGAACTTTTCTAAATGAAACTAAAATCTGAATGGTATTCACTTCGAACAATGTTAAAATGATTATCTAATTATTGCCTTTCTTACTGCTGTTTATCTTTGTTAATTGCTCCACAACAAAAAATAGTGAGGTTTTTACGAATATGTAGGCTCATAGGAAACTTTACAAGGAACTAATTACCTCTGATGTACCCTGAAAAAGTGAAGTTCTCTCTGTATAATCAAGGAAACGAAGAAGTATGAAGTATGTTAGTATGTTATGAAGTACATCCACTGGAGATACTGAGATGAGTTTATAGATCTAACAAATACTTTAAAACATATTAAGAATGTTGATAATCTATATCAATATTTTGGTGCTACTCTAAAGCTTTTCTTTTCTCATTTGATGTATATCGAGCTAATACCATTTTAACAAATATGAAAAAATGCTAATTTTAAATCAGGTCAATCATTTACAAAAATTCTGTATTTTCAGCATCCATTTTAGTGTAGACAAGGTTAAACAAAAGTATTAAAAATTCTCAAAATGTAATGATAAAATGCATTCGTTTATTTATGTATTGTCTATTGTTTGAACAGGCACCACCACAGTATAAACCTATTCCTTATTCGTTCAACTACGTTGCCGAAAACGAAGACGGTGGAAGCAGTTCTCATCAAGAATCTGGAGATGGCGCAGGACGGGTGTCAGGATCTTATAGCGTCAATGATCTGGAGGGACACGCTAGAGTTGTCGAGTACGTTGCTGACGAAGGTGGATTCAGAGCCAATATCAGGAGCAATGAACCAGGCATAATCAGCGCTGCTCCCGCTGATGTCGTGATTGAATCTTCTGGTGGTTCTGGAGCCGTAGCCCCTGCCGCCGCTAGAGTAATTTCCGCACCGGTTGCTGCCCCAGTTGTCCGCTCAACTCAACCTGCCTCTCAACCCGCCTCCAGAAGTGGAATCCGTTATGTTTTGGTCCCTGAAAGTGATCCTAGAGCTGCTGGTGGAATCCCGATCTAAATATTGTAGTAGCTTCATGTGATGATACTCTTAACATCGGCTTTCGAACTGGGAACTAATGAAAATCATTCCTAAAAATGTTTCCTAACAACTACCTCAGACCTCCAATAGCATTATGTTTTATACTGTAATTAAATTGTGTTTTTATTTAAAAAAATTTCTATTTATTTTCTTCGGAGAATTTTTCACGTTTTTTTCATAATCTTCTATTCGTATTTTACACGATTTGTGATTATATATCATACTACCTTCTATTTTCTAATGATGTTGTAAAAGTGTTGTAAACATCTAATGATGTTTTAAAATTAAGACACAATAACACGCCGAATAAATACTAATTCAGAAGTCAAACAACAAAAATCAGTATTTATTCGGCGTATTATTGTGTCTTAATTATAGAAGCCCCAAACAGGCTTACATTTTGCTTTCTTTTTTGCACGTGGTGTGGCCGCCATTTTGTGATTGTAGGAGTTTCGGTGAGTACATTTTTTGCAATTTTCAAGTTAAGTTTATATGTTTGTACATTTGGATATTGTGCTTTGTTTGTCTGATTTCATGCATTTTGCTTACAAACGTTTTGTTTTCTATTCATTTCAGTGAGGGATTTTTCTGTGTTTTGTGTGTACTTTATTATTGCTCAGTTTAATTTGGTTTGATTTTTGCATGTTTTTATCATGCCTTCATCCGTTAATCGTTTCACTAAATTACGCCTGAAACGGCAAAAATTCCTGAATCATCTTGATTTTTACTTAAATGTAAACGTAAAAAATTGATACCCAATTTTATTCAAATCAAATCTAATCAAAAACCTTCGAGTCGCGTTTCAAGAATTCTGTTAAATTGCAAGCTTGCCTTACTTCGGTCCGTGATAAGGGATACACGTCAACAATTGTCCAAAATTGAACATGAACTCTATAAGCTTCATCTGGAACTCGCTAAATCATATCCAAAATTCACTGCCCTTGAACAAAAGTCTTGGTCTAGAACGGAGAATGCAGTTAACCGTCATAAAACACCCTTGCAGTTAAATTCGAAAAACTTCTTTTACAGTCTTCCAGTTCAAGTAGTTCAAAAAATCTTCCCATTGTAAACATCAAGCCAATAGTTAATATTTCTAATGTTAGTCTTTCAGAAGAACAAGAGAGAATTCTAAAATATAATTTTAACTTCTCACAAACCCGTAAACCCTCGATTCCAAAGATTTTGGCTCCTATCGAAAAAGCTTTCAAGTTCAGTAAAGTTTCAGATTCACAGAAAGAAATGATTAGGCATCTTATCACTCATAATGTGAAATTCAATAATAAACCTTTGAAACCAAATCTAACTGCGAGAGAAATTGCTACAATGCGCGAAATTCATTCTAACCCGGATATTATCATTTCAAAGGCCGACAAAGGCGGCCAGATAGTCGTCATGGATAAGAACACTTACATCGATGGTGTCACTAAACTCTTAAACGAAGGACCATATAATCCGATCCCTAAAGATCCTTCACTTTCGGACTTATCCAAAGTAAAAACTGCGATCAAATCTTCGCAAATCATTTCAAGCAACTTAAAACATTCGCTTATCCCATCTGTTGCGAATTGTGCTAGATTATATGCTCTTCCCCCAAAATTCATAAAAGTGGTATTCCTTTCCGCCCTATTGTATCAAATTTAGGTACTGCCTCGTATCCTTTAGCTAAATATTTGGTTTCTAGATTTTCCACTCTTTTAGACAATAACATTTACACCATAAAAAATTCAATAGAGTTTGTAAAAAAGGTTAAAAACATTTCTCCTAGTAATTTACTCATGGTTTCTTTTTGATGTTAAAATCATTATTCACCAATGTCCCAGTGGAGGGTGCATTAAAATGTCTAGAAACCAGACTTCGCGAATTTCATTTCTCTTGCATCGAAATTGAGCAGCTAATTTCTCTCACTCAACTCTGTTTGAAACAAACACATTTTGTTTTCCAAAATAAATATTACAAACAAACTGAGGGATTAGCCATGGGAACCCCCTCAGTCCCATCCTGGCTGATATCTACATGCATTATTATGAATCAAAATTGTTTGAAACTTTAAACTTCCCGGCATGGTTCCGCTACGTAGACGATAATTTTACCCTGTTTGAAGGTAATAAAGATGATTTAAATAAAGTTCTTTCAACAATGAATTCTATTGATCCTGCTATTCAGTTCACTTTTGAACTTGAGACTTGCAATTCTCTTCCGTTTCTCGACATTCTGGTCACACGTAACACATCCAACTTCAGTACTACAGTTTACCGTAAACCTTCATCGGTTTGCCTTCCACCACACTTTAAATCATGTCATCCGACTAAACAAAAGTTAGCTTCATTTTATTCCTATGTTTTCCCGTGCTCTTCAAGTTTGCTCCTCCAAATTAGCCCTTGATGAAAAACTAAATTATTTAAAAGCAATAGCTATTGACAGGGGCTTTTCACCCAACATTATTAATCAAGCAGTTAAAAAATTCTCATCTCAACACACTAAAGCCACACTCTTATTTTAGGAGATTATAAAAATTCTGTTGTCATTCCCTTCTTTCCATCAATTAGCTATAAAGTTGCACATATTTTGCAGAAATTTAACTTTCGGGTTGTTTTTCTCCCATCAATAAAATTCCAACTTCTATACTCAAGGACCCCATTCCGGATATGAATTCCTGGGGTATTTATAGGATTCCTTGCCAGTGTGGTTTAATTTACATTGGCCAAACTAAGAGAGCCTTAAAATTTCGCGTCAAAGAACATGAGGCATATGTTAGAAAAAAGGAAACACAGAAGTCTTCTGTTGCTCAACATTGTTGGTCCGAAAATCACACTTTCAATTTTTCTGCTGCCAAAATTATTCAAAAAACATCTTCCATTGGAGAACTGGATTTCTAGAGGCATTTCACATTCATAAAAATCTTTCTGTTCTAGTTAATGATCCTAATTCCAATCCAAATTTGCCTTCGGCTTTTAGAGAAATTATGTTTTAGTTCTGGTTTCGCCAACAGATGGCGCCACTTGCTTATTCTTGTCCAGGCTTTCTTATCTTATCTAATCATTATTTCCTATCTTGTTCATTTGTGGTTTTGCAGCTGAAGATGATGGCTCGGTAAAACCATCGAAACTAGTCCTGTGAAAATTTTGTGGGTATAACGCTGATTTTTGTTGTTTGACTTCTGAATTAGTATGTTTTAAAAGTTTGATGATGTAGAAATTTACGTGCGAAAAGATTTCACATTATGCATTATTCATATGCGAGACTATTTCACATTATTCATTATCCATATGCAAGAATACTTCACATTACTCACATGTTAGAATAATTCATATTCTTGCATGTGAAAGAAAATCATTTAGAACATCATGTTGAACAACAGTTTAGAAAATAGAAAGTGATATGATATATAATCACAAATCGTGTAAAATCCAGAGAGCATTTTTGCATCTATTTATATTCGTTAAATATATAGCAGAATTGGCGCAGCATTTGAATAACCTGAACTAGAAATGCTGGTGAAACTTTTTTGTCGTAACCTTAGTTTTTCCTAACAGAATATTTTCCACGATATCACACATGATTAGTTAAAATCATAATGCCAAACGAAATGTAACATTATTTCAAATTGTGACAGACAAAGCATTTCAAATGAATGCTTAATACAGCGCAGCTGTACTTAAGTAGTATATTAAGTATTCGTACATACTTAAATACTTAAGTACTTAAGTATTTAAGTATGTACGAATACAATCGTAAACGAAACCCAGTTTTCCGTCAATAATACTAACAGGTTCATTCACTTGCATGCCGATCTATGTATGTATGCAGTAAATAAGAAATTCAAGAGTTTACTTTGTTAGTTTATTTTTACAGAATAATATGTGCCTAAACTTCTATTAATATTCAAATCGAGCAACGAAAATTTAAACATTGAAGCTTTTATAACCTTTTTATTGGGTTGGGTATATTTTATAAGGATTGCTGATTTCAAGAAATGAGCATAACGTACATTATTTTTGACAGGAAAAAAGAGTATTTTATTCGCTTCTTTCGCATGATTTAAAGGTACTACATTTTCCAATCAGCATATACGCACATATTTACATTTATAAATGAGTGTATTTGTATAGAAAAATAGATTAGGAATACCTCCTTTTAATGGATAGATATTGATACAGATATAGCAATAGTCTATAAAGTGTAAAACTAATAAAATATGCTCAAAAAGTACTAGTCTGATTGCTAAAGTTCCAACATTTTTTGCCTTAAGTGAAATTAAATCGACAGCTAAACGAAGCTTCATTCTCTCTTCAAGAGCAACTTAGTCTATGCAATTGCCATCGTTTCAGATGAAGTAAAACTGTTCCCATCTGTTCGTTTAAGAACGTGTAAGGAATTATTCAGGGAACAAAACGCTATAAAATAAGAGGAATACTTATTAAACATAGCGTAACGTAACGTAAAGTAAATATAAAAGAAAGGAACCGGTCAGCAGTTCTGTGCGACCCCGAAAACCAGTATTTGGCTTTCATAAATATAAGAGATAGACAGAGAGATATGGATGTTTGTAATACTAACAGTGAATTGTTCTCACAGCTTTTTGGATAATGATGAGTAGGGAAGCTCGCAAGAAAGTGTGCTTTTAGTGACAATTTTGTGTTGATAAGCAGTATCGCCTGAGGTAGTCAGAAACACTCCAGAACCTCCACTAGTAGAGTGCTCCACGTGTAAAGTAGATAAAGCGAGATTATCGAAACGTTTTTGAAGACTCTTTACTTTCATTAACTCCTGAACACCCTTTGATTTCTTAAAACCCTTTAATATATTCAGTCGGAGTTAAGCTAATGAACATGTAAGCTACAGTATATACTTTTCATCAACTTCCTCCAGCTTGCATTTAATGAATGTTATACTACATAAACAAGGCCACCATAAGGCGGAAGCAAATTAAGCATTGACTATTAAAGAAGAGCTTAAAACAAGAATTAAACATGAGCTTAATGGCAAAAACAAGTTAAATTGCAGTTTTAAAATTTCTTTTACTATTTTTTACTAATAGAGTTTCGCAGTTGAAGAGAGT